TTAAAACAACAATGATGAAAGATGCACTTGAGCCCCCAGATAGAATTGGATTTGTTCTACCAGTCCAACTATATATGTAATTTCTCACTATCTATAACTGTTAATTCAGAAGATGAGTTACTAAGTAAAAACAAAAAAAACTAAAACCACACCTGTTTAATAATGAAAATCTAATTGTATTCTCCTATTTAGTTTCCAAAATATTTGCCCCAAAGAAATATCTAGAAGCATGTATGTATAACTTTCTTTTAGTCACATTTCCCTATTAAAGCTCCATGGGAGGCAAAGCAATTATGCAAGTGACTCTATTTGGAACTCAGGAGATATGCCCTAGAAAAACAAACTCAGAGAAGAGAAATTTCTTTCCTTTTGTAGAATGTTACTTCATATACATATATATATATATATACATATATATATACATAGATATGTGTATATATACACATATATGTATGTATATATGTATATGTATGTATATATGTATGTATGTATGTATATGTATGTATGTATGTATGTATGTATATATATATGAATACCGGGTCTATCCAATGAGAGATTCAGGAACATCTGACTTGTCAGGTGCTCCCTTCCCTCTGTCCTCATTTGACTCAATTCACTGCCACTCCCACAGCAGGGTCTCAGGCAAAATCCAAGTGGGAAAAGGTAGTTTTTAACAAGCCTTCCTTTCCTCTTTACAACTGTCTTCTGTCCCAGTGATTCTTCTGTAGCTTCATTTTAACTAATGGAATCATTTTCATCACATTGGTTTTGATATTTGTCTGAGAAGAATTTAGACTCCAAACAAATGTCACATTAAAAATGAAACCTCAGTAGGGCACCTGTGTCTCTCCTGTAATTCTAGCTACTCTGGACGCTGAGAGCTGAGGAGAGTTGTTTGAAGCTATCCTGGCAGAAAAATCTGTGAAACTCTCATCTTCAATTAATCACCAAAAAGCCAAAAGTAGAGCTATGGTTCAAGTGGTGTGAACGAAAAAGCTCAAGGACAGTGCCCAGGCACTGAATTCAAGCCCAAAACCAACACACACACACACACACACACACACACACACACACACACACACACACACGCACTGAATTCAAGCCCAAAACCAACACACACACACACACACACACACACACACACAGAGAACAAATAGCCTGGTGCCAGTGGCTCACACCTATAATACTAGCTACTTAGGAGGTTGAGATCAGAAGATCTTGATTCAAAGTCAACCCAGGGAACAAAGTCTATGAAACTCTTATTTCCAATTAACCACCAAAAAGCAGGAATAGAGCTGTGACTCAAGTGACAGAGCACGACCCTTGAGCAAAATAATTCAGGGACAGTACGTAGGCCATGAGTTCAAGAACTAGGATCATTTATCCAGCTTTTCTTTGATTTGTTGTGTTTCTGGATCTTTACTTAGGAAGTTTCAGCCAGTGCCAAGAAGCCCTAGTGTTTTACCTATCCCTTCCTACAATATTTTCAGGGTATCTGCTCTTACATTGAGGTTTATGATCCATTTTGAATTGATTCTATTGCAGGGTGATGTATAAAAATCTAACTTCAGTTTTTTGCCTGTGTATAGCCAATTCTGCCAGCATCATTTGTTGAAGAGGCTGTCTTTCTTCTGTATTTTTGGCTCCCTTATCAAAGATTAGGTGGCTATAGGTCTGTGGGTTCATTTCTGGGTCTTCAGTTGTAAGCCAAATCCAAAGAAACATAGGCTACTAGAATGTGTCTAGGATATTCTTAGCAGAGGAGCAGCACAATAGCTTAATAGTTATGATGCTTATGAAATGATGCTTATTGAAATGAACTCCAAGAAATGGAAACAAGAGGATTTTTTAGTGTACTGTTGGCAGTTATTTCTTTTTTCTTTTTTTTTTCTCCCTTCGGTTTATTCCCTGTTTTTGCTGTTTTTTATTTCTGTACCCTTTGTTTTGTATATAAGTTTATCTGATTTGGGGAAGAGATGGGGAATCACAGAAATCATGGGACAAAAGGTAAACCAATTCAACAGTGATACTCACAAGACTTGGTTGGAAATGAACTTTACAACTGCCCTGGGGGGGTGGGGGGGGAGAGGGGGAAGGTGGGGACTGGGGTGGGAGTGGGAGAAAATGAGGGAGGGTGCAGCACTGCTCAAAAAGAAATGTACTCATTGCCTTACTCATGTAACCCCTCTGTACAATATCGTTACTCATTACCTTACTTATGTAACTGTAACTGTAATTGTAAAGGTATATCTTTATAATAAAATTTTTCAAAAAAAGTAACAAGGGTCAGCACCAGAAAAAAAAAAAAAGAAAAAAGAACCAATAACCAGGCTCATGTTTTATGGATGTTTTCTTTTCTTCAGCTTCTTAAAGCATCAAAGCAGCTAAATATAAATTTAAGTATCACAGTACACACTGCCTCCTGCAGGGAAAGTGTTGTGTACATCTATAGCTTCTTCTGTCATTCATCAGCTAAATAATGTGCCTCAAGGTTCACCACAATGTCTTCTGGTCTAAGCTGGTGTCAGTTTCCCAGCCGTTAATACTCATTAAGCATAGCAGCAAACTCCACAAGTACATGTAACTGTATTTACAAAGATTGCCTTTCCCAATTTCTATAATTAAAGAAATAATTCATAAGCAACCAATCGAATGACTCATCGATTAATTTAATGATAGGAAGTAACAAGAATATATACATATATCTTCAGTTTTCTATGAGGGAGACATGAGTTTGTATTTTCTCAGTTGTATACAAGTTCTGAGAATTTACCTATCCTGTTGCTTCTTTGTGAAGATTAAATAGTGTTTATAAAATGCCTGACAAATAAAGGTCACTTAATGATTAGCAGCCATTCTTACTACCCTACCAATATTTCCACTTAGAGATTAACTTCACACTTGGGGTAGAGAATAGAGTTAGTTTGCAGTGAGTTACAAAAGCAAGGATGGAGTTTAGAAGCAAAGTTAATAATTATTACTAAATTAAGTGAAATAATGAGTAATCAAACCATAGTAACAATGGTTTGTTAGTGACAAAATTCTCAGTGAAACTTGTCAAAATATTAGACAAAAGAAATATGAAAGATATGCTTCAGGCTAGAATGGGTCCAGTTTAAGTGACTTCATCAGTCCAATGGACATAAGCCACATATAAGGTGCAAAATGTAAAAAAAAGAAAAAAAGTTAACACGTTTTAAAAGATGGTGCAGCTTTTTTGGCTGACTTTATAAATCAAAATATGAAGGTAACAAAGGCGAACTTATATTTTGCGTGCTTAATGAAAGATCCTTCATGTTAAATATACTAGGTTACCTTAAAATTATTTTTGTCATCAGATACTATTGTCATAGGAGAATATTTTCTATGTATTTATAGGGCAATGGACCAATGCAAATATAAAGAGTTCCTCAAGTCAGCAGAAGCTAATTTTCTGTATTTTATTTTTCTTCACTTCGTATTAAAGTGGCTTAATAATAGTTATCTCCTGTTAAGTACCATACTGGTCCCTGGTAACTCAAAAGCCCCTCAGAAATTTAGAAAAAATCTCATACTCGTTACCTTACTTATGTAACTGTAATCCCCCGTTCATCACCTTAACAATAAAATTAAATATTCTCATTATCTACCTTTTATATCAAGTTACATCTACTCTTGTGTTCTTTGTCATTTCTTGTTATAGCAAATAGCACTGTTACCTATAGTTACTCAATTTTGAAAGCTAGAAATTTAGTTACCTCTCCTGACTATGCCTTTCTCTCCTTCTTAAATGCAACTTACCATTGAGCACTGTCAGTTTAGCTCCTAATTCCTCTCTCTAGCTCTCTTTGTCCCCTATTATACAGTTAAACTAACCTTTCCCCTCCCCTTGCCTACCCCACTGTAATAGCCTCCTCACTGGTCTAATGGCAGAACCCCTCTTTTCCCAACATGGCCTTCCTCACCCCAAGACTACACTTCCACCCTGGCATGAACGAGCCTATGTTATCTTACCACCCTAGCCTTGAGCTTAGAACTCCTAATGACTTTGATTACCTTTTTCATGATGAAGAAGGAAAAGTACAGATAACTGGTGGCTCACGCTTGTAACCATGGCTTATCATGAAGCTGAGGCCTAAGATGTGAGGATCACAGCTCCAAGCCAGTTTGGGCAGGAAAGTACACAAGAGTCTTATCTTCACTTAAGTAGCAAAAAAGACAGAAGTCAAGCTATGGTGCAAAGTGGTAGAGCACCAGCTATAAGCATAAAAGCCAAGTGTGTGTGATGCCCTGAGTTCAAGCTCCTATACTGGCAGAAAAAAAAAGAAAATAAACACACACACACACACACACAGATCTTGGGGAAAGTCTTTTAAAATGTGGTTTAGAAAGCTCCCTTCCTGCTTTATCTTGCATTACTCTTTTTGTCTCTGAAACAAACTAACTTTGGTATGTCCTCTGCTCCCTCCTTCATGAGACAGCTCTGGCTTTTCCTCAGGCCTCTGTGTAGTCATCGCCTTAGGTTTTACCTCCCTCCCTCAGAGATACTCCTTAAACTCCTAGTCAACATCAACTTCCGGCTTTACATTTTCCTAATGCTAAGTCCCGAATGAACTTTAATTTTTATTTTGACATTTTGGCTAATATTTTTCCTTTCCTAGTAATCTCTAAGTTCCTGTAGAAAGAGAACCACATCTATTTTGAGTCACTCACTAGCTTCAGTTTAAACTCAGGTATTTGAGCTTATAATATTCAATAGTACATATTTGAGGGATGAATGAAGAAATGATGTCAGGAGACATCATTTGTCCTTGAGAATGTCCTTGAGAACATTACACTCTCTTGCTTTGCAGAAAAGAAAGAGGGGAGGAGGCGGGGGGAGACAGAGGAGGAGAAGAAGGAGGAAGTGTAAACTCATCATGTCAAATGCACTTTGATTTGTGGCTATAAGATGACAATGGTCAACTCAAACTAGTGTAAGGCTAGGGGATTTTGCAAGGAAATAAACGTACAGCCTTTACCTTTAGCTTTAAGGAGTTCAGCTTCTCCTCCCTGAGGTGTTCCCTCAGCATGTCCCGATGCAGCCGTTCCTGCTCCCTGGCGAACTCGCCCAGCGTGTACTGGCGGACGCTGTTGTGGCGGCTGGACATGCCCAGGGTGCTGCCCCCCTGGCTGGGCACGCTGGTGAAGCCTTGCCTCCTGGTGAAGTAGTACACCGTGACACAACTGAAATGCACATTCTTGGTCCTCAGCCGCTTCTCCCTTTTGAGAATGGAGGAAGCTGAAAGAGAAAGAGCCAAATTCAGTGGACACCAAGGGCTCCAAAATACACGTGAGCTTGCAGCCCTCGGCGATCAACCCTGCCCAGCCCTATGATGGAGTCTAAAACTATCAGATTACGAAGTTGGTTTAAAAAAAAACGATTTTTAATTTCCCCTCCTATATTTTGCTCTAGTGGTGGCAGAGGACATTTCTTTAAGTGCTTCTGTCTAAACCAGTGTTCAGGAAAGCTGCCAATTGCTTTTGAGCCAGAATTTAGCCTCTCATTTCCCCTAATCTCCTAAATTTTGGTTTTATGATTTGTTTGTTTCTTACACAGGTGTACCATACTATAATCAGAAAGGACATAATACAAAACCTCAGATCTGGGAACTTACTTCTATCAACAGGATGGTTGGTAATAAAAACACTGACTAGTTATCAAAAGTAAGAGTTTCACAGGAAGACTAAGTTCTAATGTCCTACTGCACAGTGGAATGAACAGTGTACAATAATTGATTATATATTTTACAGAGCACTACTAGAAAAGAGATTTTTGGCTGGAAGTCTCCCAAGGCAAAGAAATGATAAGTGCTTAAGATATTGGAAATGCTAATTATCATGATCTTATAATTACAACATTATATACATATATGTACTAAATTATCACACTGTTCCTAAATATGTACAACTATTACATGTCAGTAGAAATATATTTCCTATAATATTAAAAAAAGAAAAGATCTCCTAAAGCAACAAGAGACATGGAAATATCTTGTTGATACTACTTAGATGTTTAGCAACCTAAGTCTGACAAAATTGTCATTGATTAAAAAAATAGTAATATCCTAGTAGGATTCTAATCCAATTGTTAAGACACTTGAAAATGCCAAGCAATATTTCAGCACTTTTCTTTTTATCACTCATTCAAAATTAATAACACTTTGTATATATTTATGTATAAAGTAATGATGTATTAATATATATGTACACATTAAGAATCGTTAAATCAATTTAATTAACATGTCTATTACCTTACCTTTTTGTGTGGTGATGGTCAGAACCTTTAATATTAGATATAGGGATAGCAAAAAAAGAGAGCATCAAGGAGAGTTGGCGTACATACTAGGGTAGAGAGAAAAGAGCTAAAAATGATCAGCATGAGCTTTTGAAGCTGGAAGACACGGTAGACATCATCTGCTCTGATCCTTTTATTTCATAGTGAAGCAATCCAGCTTTAGGGACTCTCAGTGATTTCTTTTTATATAGCTTGTGGCAGAGTTAAACCCAAAAGCTCTAAATCTGGTTCCCTACAGTGGACATCTTTCCACTGTGACAGAAAGGACACAAAGAGAAAGAAATAGAATCATGCTACTATGGATTGAATTTTTATTGCCTTCAGCACCGAGATATGTTGGAGCCCAAGCCTTCAGTACCCTAAGATGCAGTCTCCTTAGAATATAGGGTCTTTACAAATGTAGGTATGTTAAGAAGTCATTAAGGTGAACACCAATCCAATATGATTGATAGCCTTAGGAAAAGATAAAAGTTGGATACAGATGTGGAAAGATGGAAGATAATAGAAAAAGATAGAAAAGATGATACCATGTGAAGAGATAAAGATTATTGCGGGGACTATCAAAAACTAAAATATGCAAGAAAAAGTCTATTCTACAGTTATATTTTTAATTTTTTTCAGGTCCTGGGGCTTGAACTCAGGACCTGGGCACTGTCCCTGAGCCTCTTTGTGCTCAAGGCTAGAAATCTACCACTTGAGCCACAGCGCCACTTCTGGCTTTTTCTGAGTAGTTTATTGGAGATAAAAGTCTCACAGACATTCCTGCCTGGACTGGCATTGAACCATAATCCTCAGATCTCAGTCTCCTGAGTAGTTAGGACTACAGGCATGAGCCACTGCCACCTGGCTTTCTGCAGGTTTTAAAAGGGAACATAGATCACATCTTTATTTGGAGATAGATGGAGGTGGAATGGGGAATTTCTTTTCTAGGAGATTAAGCTTTTGACTGCCATTCCACAGTGGGGAGCTGAAGCTACAATAAGGTGGAGACTTGGTAATAATATTTCTGATAGACCATGACTTGCTGCTGGCTGGCTGGAGAGCTGGGAGAACAATAAATGTACAAGAACTACAATATCACTTAGGATGTACATATGAATATTCTTCCAAGGGGGTGCAAGTATCTTTGTCCCATTTTTCCACTGTAGACTTTTAAATATGGAGAAATCGCTGCAATCAATCTCATTTGGGGGGTTTATTTAGCCAGTAAATATAAATTTGGGACCTACCATGTGTCAAACAGATTCTAAATCTTTGGGATATATAGTGGGGGGGCAAATGAATGATGATACTTCCTTAGGTAGAATTCTCATTCCAGGAATGAGACAGAAAGAGCACACTCCAGGATGGAAAAGTAAGAGAATTACGATTTAGCTTACCTTACTTTGCCTCTTTTCTACTATTTTACTTCCCCAGAAGATAGAGAGCAAATGCATTTCGAGGTGTGCATAACTTATCCACACATTCACTGAAGTTTTCAACATTGATTTAGAAGATCTGACCTGCTTCATAACTATATGCTTAAATCATCTCAAAACAAAGAATTTGTCAAAATGTAAAAGATCAGCATAGGATGCAAAATTTCATAGTCTTTCTACATCTGCCTATCAGATCTGACAACCTGATCTGTCACCATTCCATAGCAATTGAAGTAGAGAATCTGATGTTGACATGATGACCTCTCTTGATGACCTTTCATCTTTCTTTGTTCCTTAGATCATAAAAGGGTGCCCTTAAAATGTTTCTTTCAAAGCCGTAACCCTGCAGACAGGGTTACAGGTTTTAATATGCTCAATTAAAATAAGTATTACAATTTATGATAATTTTGTTGCTTATTATTAAGAACACTAATGGCACCCTAGACAAGTTAATTTTTCAATAATGTATTTAGGCCTATAGCTTTGTTTTTTTTTTAACATCGTAAGTTTTGTGGTTTCTTTCTCTTTTTGTTAACTCTTTAGCATGTATCTACTACAATACCTTTTCTTGAAAAGCCAAATTACCCTCTTTCCTCAGAAGTCAGAATGTAGAAATGATTTTCTGAGATGATTTTTTGACAAGAGCGGAAGTCCTTAGGCTGTGTCCTTTGCAGACTAAAGTGTACAAGGAAATTGAAGTTATAAACTATATCAGTTAGGGCTTATAAACCTGTGCTTATGTGTTATTTAATTTGCATATTATAAATTGTAAAGACAATTATCCAAAGACTATGAATGAAAGGCTTTCAAGTACTCTAAGACCATCCTAATGAAATTTATTTTACATGTGGCTTTCTAGTATTTAGGAGCCACCCACAGCTCTCTTCTGATGATTGAATCAGAGCAAGGCCAAAATGAGCTGTCTTCTGCCTCTAGGCCCCACTTTGACTAGCATCACAAATGAAGTCATAAAAGGAGTTCTTTCTTCAAGCCTGAGACAAAGTGAATATATTCACTCACCACATTAGCCTTAGGGAGTATGAAACCTCTCTGGTTTACCTATGTGCCTTTTGCAGAATGAATAAACAGTACTTCCTGGCTCTATAGAGTTCAAGGTTAGCTTTACTGCTGTGAGGTCAAGAGCAAGAAAAAGGAAGAGAATGTGGCTTACGCTTCAAAAAAGAGTCAATTTTCATATTCTATACCAATTTTAAGTATCCTCAGCTACTTTTCTTTCATCCAAGTCACAATGACTATCCTGAAGCAAAAGTTTCTAAATGCGACAGTCTTATATTCTTCTTAAGATGCAGCTCTCAGGACGGCACACCAGGCCATGTGCATGTCACTATGAAAAATCGTCTATCTATACAGGCAAAATTGTTTTTGCAAATTAAATGAATATCAGCACTGACTGGTATTAGCTATATTTCAGAGTTCTCCATCTTAAAAACAGTAATTTAAAAGTGAGTAAAAACGAGCTGGATACTGGTGGCTCATGCCGGTAATCCTAACTACTCAGGAGACTGAGATCTGAGAATGGTGGTTCAAGGCCAACCCAGGCAGGAAAGTCTGTGAGACTCTTATCTTCACTTCATTAGCAAAAAGCCAGAAGTACAGCTGTGGCTTAAGTGGTAGATCTCTAGCTTTAAGTGGAAAAAGCTCAGGGAGAACACGCACGTACTGAATATAAGGCCCGGGTATCGGCAGCCCTCCCCCACAAAGAATGGAGAAGAGAACTGACTAATTCACATTTGCAAGGTAAAATAATCTCATCACAAATTATAATTTATGAGAATGAATTTATATAAATAAGACAGTAATATATAAGGAATAATTCATTTTTAGAATATATACTGTTGTTATTGTAAAGGTGATATACAGAGAGGTGACAGTTACATAAGTCAGGTAATGACTAAAGCGGATTAAAAATGAAAACCAAAAACTAAGAAGTAAATGTTTCTAGAACCATCCAGAAAAGCAAGTGCTCTAGTGAGACAGATGTTCTGCATAGTCTAATCCCATACAGAGGATGGGAGAGTATGAATGTGTCAGAGTCAGGTGACACCAGGTTCTAAGAAACCTCAATGGATTCTTTCCTATTCTACACTCATGAAGGTTCACACAGGTTGGAAGATTTACAGACCTACACGTCAATTCAATTTTTTTCCCTGAAAATAATCATTTGCGGTTTTGTTTTGTTTTGTGTATGTCAGCCATTTGTGAACATGATTCGTGAATGCCATTTCACCAAGCTTGGGGATCTGCATGCACTAAGATAATCACACATGTCAACCTCTAAGGTTGAAAACTGTGTCCTGTTCCATCTGCTTCACCTGTACTCTGGACCAGAGAGCTGATTGTCATCCTCTTTAGACACATTTCTTGTTAATGTCAACAGCTTTGAGCACATCCTGCTGTAGTTGGAAAGGCAGACAGCAGCAGACAGAGATATGTATTTTGGCACTACATTTAGCATGGAGAGGTGGAAAGCTGATGGTCCAGTTTCAGGTTAAAAAAAGAAGAGAA